TACTACATGCCACACACATGTTGTGTGAATGTATGCATGCATGCATGTATGTATGTAAAACTCTCAGGAAATGGCTAATCATTCACCAGTAGTCACTTCTAGGATCAGAAATTAATAAATATTGCCTAATGATTAGAAGAGATGGCATAAATCCATAAAATGCATATGGATTTAAAAGTCATGCCTTTACTTCATGGGAAAGAAATTTCAGACTTGCATTTCTAAGTAAGCCTACTTCAGGACAGTTGGTTTCCAGCCCCGGGCCCTTCTTCCTCCCTCCTCCATTCCCTCTAACAAAACTCCTTTTATCTGGGCATTATTTAAGCCTGAGGACCCCACACTTGTATCAGACTTGGTGGAGAAAATCTGGGTTCTGTGTTCACCACTAAACTACTGTCAACTCATTCCTGCAGCCACCTTTATCTGACACATCTCATTATGTGTAATAATGAACTTCTTTTTAAAGGCAGTTCATTTGAGGTTTTCTCTCATTTGCAACGAAAATAATCATTGCTGGTTTAAAAAAAAAAAAAAGCTGCACACATTTGGCTACATGCTCCTCAGATACATTGAAGCAATGGATTAGGGAGGAGGAAATGAGCTATTTTACATTTAAACTTTTAAGGAAACAGCTACCAAACTGAGAAAGAGGAAGAGGGCTCCTAAGAAAATAATAATTAAAATACCCCAGGAATGCTGGGCTCAGAGAGGACTCAGTGGGTAAAGTTCTTGTTTATAAGCATAACGACTCAAGTCTGAATCCCAAGGACCCATTCAAGCCAAGTGTGGTAGCACATGCCTGCAATCCTAGTGCTCATACATGCGATGGGAGGCAGAGATGGACAAAGATGGCCAATTAGTGTGGCATACTCAGTAGTGAAAACTAAGGGAAAAAAAAATAAATATAGAAGGTAGGAACCAGCATATTAGAGTAGAGTATCCTCTGACTCTTGCACATTCTCTGTAGCAAGTATGGAACACACACACACACACACACACACACAGGTTTCTACTCCTGTGAAGAGACCATGACCATAGCAACTCTTATAAGACATTTACTGTTTCAGAGGTTTAGTCCATGGTATCTCCAACCAACATTTTGGGGTCTCCAAGTCAATTCAGGCCTCACCGTCACAGCTTAACACCTAGCTTAACAGCCTCTCTAGACTTCCATGCTGGGACACCCATGCCACACCCCTGTCCTCCATGAGATGGATTCCATAACCCCTTTCTTCTAACCTTGACTCTAAAGCCAGAACAATGTAGCCAAAGCTACCAAGTTCCGTTGCTTGTTGGGGCTGGAACATAGCATAGCCTCTTTGTTGAATTACAACTTTGCCAGCTTTCTGTTTTCCATGGTTTTCTTCATTGCCTAAGCTTGGATGTCCTGGAAATTGATCTGATATAGACCAGGCTGACCTAAAACTCAGCGATCTGCCAGTCTGCCTTCTAAGTACTGGGATTAAAGGCGTGTACCACCACACCTAAACCTAAACTGTTCTTTAACTCCTTGTCACAAGTTGGAAGCTTAGCTGGACGAGAGCTTGCCCTGAGGTCACCGCACCTTTTATTTCTTTTCTTAATCTGTTTATTTCGTTAACACAGAATATTGCTCCGTTCCATTCCCCCTTTCTTTTCGGTCTGTCCACTTTGCATTTTTCCTTGCTCAGTTTGTTTCTTCATTGTAAATCTTCATTAGCAGCAACACTAGTAACCACACAGCAAAGCCCATGCACAGCGGCTGTACTGAGATCTCCTCTGCCAATGCAATTCATCCCAACTCTTCACTTCGGCACCAGGCAGATTCTTTTTCACAAAGGCAAAAGCAGCCACATCCTTCACCAAAGTATGACAACAAAGCTCTCTAGGCAACACACTAAAATTCTTCTTTGAAATCTCTTGAGCCAGGCTCCCACAGTTAAATTCGCTTGCAGCATCACTGTCTTCCATGCTCCTACTATTAAGCCCGGCTTAAAACAGTCAACTGATTTTCTAATTCAAACTCCAGCTGGTGATGGTGGTGCACGCCTTGAATCCCAGCACTCAGGAGGTAGAGGCAGGGGGATCTCTCTGAGCAGACAAGAGTAGATCAGCCTCGTCTACAAGAACTAGTTCCAGGATAGCCTCCAAAGCCACAGAGAAACCTTGTCTCAAAAAAACAAATAGACAAACAAAAACTAATTCAAACTCCCATAGTCTACATTCCTCCAAACAAAAGCATGGTCAAGCCTATACCCTGGTACCAACTTCTGTTTTAAAGTTTCTATTGCTTGAAGAGACATCTTGACCTCAGCAACACGTATAAAGGAAAGCATTTAATTGGGGCCGGCTCACAGCTTCAGCGGTTTAGTCCATTATCATCAAGACAGCAGCATGCTGGCAGACATGGTTGCTGGAGAAGGAGCTGAGAGCTCTACATCTCCATCTGCAGGCAGCAGAGGCAACTGTGTCACTGGGAGTGGCTCGGACATATGTAAGACCTGAAAGCCCGCCACCATAGTGACACACTTCCTCCAACAAGGTCACACCTATCCCAACAAGGTCACATCCTTATGGGCCAAGCATTCACACACATGAGTCGATGTCGGCCATACAAACTCAAACCATCACACATAACATGTATGAGAAGTTAAATACAGGAGCTTCCAGAGAATTTAATATTGGAGCAAAGAATGCCCCAAACCCCTACCTGGTATTCACTAGATTAAAGAGAATAATTCTGAAATAATCTGTTTAAAGACAGTTCCATCAAAATAATAATCATTCTCTCTTCTGACTGAAGACGGAATCACAGTTATCGAAGGGAAAAAGAGCCAGGCCCTGTTGCAGCCACCCCTTGTGAGAGCTCCAGTTGTCTCAGATTTTACTTTGCTCTATTCTCTTGAGACACACTGTTCCAGTGAGCCACTTGGAACTCAGTGGCCATGTAGGCTCAGAGGCCTCATCATAAACAGGGATCAACTCCCAAAGACGGTCCACAAAAGACCACTTCCCTCCAAGTGAGGTGAGGCATGCAGAGAATCGTGGCAGAGACTAAGACTGTGCTACTTCTAGGCGCCCCCCACTGCCACTCCAAGTCTGTAACTCTGAGGTAGCCATGCAGCAGGGGCATGCAATCCCATTACTGTCTGTCTGGGCCTGGACAGTGAACCCTAGGCTCCCTGGAGAGCTGGGCTTGAGGAAAAGATGGGAAACCAGAACATTTTACCTTGAAGTGTTTCCCTATTTCTGCTTTAATTCCCCCCACATCCCTTCAGGTTCAAAGAGGTGAAGAGATGACAAGAAACACACAGTTCTGTTTCTCCATCGGTGAGGTGTCTGGGTCTGAGGAAAGCTGATTCTTAATCACTGCGGGTAAAACTGCCCCTCAGTGCACATCTGTTCAGTATGGGATAAACTTAAAATGGCAGGGCCTCTGGCCCAAAAGGAAGGGTTCTGAGGCTTTCCAGACAAATCTTCTTAGGAAAATGGACAGACGAGTTAGGGACAAATAGAAGAAAACCTGAACAACAGCCTAAATAACTGCTCTCCAATGACGCGATGGCTACGGTTGTGTATCAGTGTTTCTAGGATCCTGTGCAACATCAGATACACAAACTGTTCTGTGGGACACAGATAGTTGCAAAATAACCATGCAGACAGTGGAAATTCTCCCACCCTTGCTAAATGTACAGTTTGTAGTTCTCACTCCAGTCCCTCTGGAGTGGAGTATTTGAAGATGGAATTTTAAAAGGGGTCATGAAGGTAAAATGTGGTCGGTAGAGTGGGCTCTAAACCAACCTTTCTGCTGTTCTCAAAAGAAGAAATTAGGACACAAACACACAAAGAAGGGAGGATCTTCTGAGGGCAAGCCGCCTGCATGCCAGGAAGAGAGGCCTCAGAAACGCCACATTTCCTGCAACCTGGATTCTTTGCTCTTTCTGTTCCAAAAGTCTGAGGAGCAAGTATAGGGAACCCAGACTGCCTTACTTATTAGTGCAATTGCAGCCAATGAATCCTCACTATTAGATGTCAGAGAACACCAAGGTGTGAGCAAAAATGCATATAGCCACCTCCCACACACACCCAAGTGGAAGGGCTGCCCTTGTTGGGTTACAGTGGCCACATATGGAGAGAGATTCGAGTGGGGATTGAGATGGTGACTAACGGGGATTTTAGCCTTAAAAGTGAACGGTTGAGAGTGTACTAGGATCATTTGTGTAGCAAATTTAAAAGGACGCCTTCAGCTGGGGATGCAGATCGATACTAGGCTGTGTGAACTAGCAAGAGCAGAGCCCAGATTCAGTCTCAGAAATATAAGAAAAAATTAAAAGTGGTCAGGGATAGAAGGGAGGGAGGGAGGGAAGGAGGGAGGCAGGGAGACAAACAGAAAAAGAGAAAACCCCAAAGCAACCTTCTTTCAAGGCACTGTCCTGAGCATGCACGCAGCACACTTCAGCTAAATCCTGCTCCCTGTGCGGATTTACTCCATTGCCCAGGACCCTCTTTGCACTTGCAAGCCTGCATCACAGTGCCATCCATCTTTGTAAGGCTTTGTACCTCTCTCCATCCCTCATGCTTGGCACACCGGTTCCCTTTTAACTCCAGAGTTTCTGACTTTCACTCCAAGAGCAGCTCAAGTGCCAGCCATTCTATCAGCGTGCACAAATGTCTTTCTTGGTGAGTTCTGCACCCCTTCATCATCTTAATTGTATTCATGACCATAACGCCCAATGGTGCTACAGTCAAATAATGCACCTTTGGTTGAATGATTGGCATTTCTCTGTTGGGTGGTTTTGCCGTCAGAGCATCCCAAAGACCTGGCATTCTATCTGAGTATCTTAACAGGCAGACTGCAACCAGGACATAAAGTTCTTCCCTCAAATTGAAACAAGGGGACAACTGCATGTCTGGGTCACCTGAGGCCCATTTGCTGTACCCACTAATGAAAAGACTTTTATTCAATTCTGTGTCCACAGTAGATCTGCATCAGTCCTCTCGTGGCCTTTGACAAACATTACCTTTTCATGGGCTTGGGTGAGCACTCTCTCTCCAGGTTGGAGCAGGTGTGTTTCACGTGCATGGCATTATAGGAAGTGTGGGTATAGTCATTTTCATCGCTGTAGTCAGGACCAAGTAATGTCCGGGCCCAAGTCCCCATGTCATAAGGAGGAAGGGTTCCTCCAAATTCAGAGGGCAGAAACTCAGGATGTATTAGCTGGTGAAGGCTGTTTAAATTGTTTCCATGTAGGAAAATCTGGAAAGGAAAAAAAAAATAAACAACATAAAAATTTAAAATAGGACAAGTGTTCAGTCTAATGCACAATTTAACCAAGACAAATTGTGTGTGTCTCTGGTGAGATGGTGTTCAAAGAGGCGATTTATTTTGTGCCCATGGTTTAGTCATCATAAAAGGCTATTTTAGGCTGGGCGTTGGTGGCACATGCCTTTAATCCCAGCACTTGGGAGGCAGAGGCAGGTGGATCTCTGTGAGTTTGAGGCCAGCCTGGTCTACAGAGCTAGTTCCAGGACAGGCTCCAAAACAATACAGAGAAACCCTGTCTCACAAAACAAAACAAAAAGGCTGTTTCAGTGCTTAGAAAATTGGTCAAATTGGTAGTCGTTTTAATAAACGATGTTTAAGAGTACAACGGATGTCATTTGGCAACCACTAGAATGTGCACACAGCACATCCTAGTCACTCCTAAGAATGGGGAATGGGGAATGGGGAAATAATGGCAAGTGCTCCAAGGCTACCCATGCTTTGAATGCCCTGCTCCTACCTGAGAGCTCTGACACCCCGTTCCAACATCTTGTCAGGCCCCACCAAGTACAGCCTCTCCCTGTAGAGGTCCTGGACCCTCGCCCATTCTGCTTTTCCTCCTTCAATCAGTCCCAGGCCCTATCCATGCTGATTCTCCATGCCCTCCCTCCCTCATACTATTCTGTATCCGATGGATTCTAGCTCTGTTCCAATGTGTTCCATTGGGTCTTAGGGAGAGGGATGATGGTATTCTATTCTGCTGACATACCCTGTAATTCCCAAGATGGTGTGTATGCACTAGATAGACACTCAATCAGTTCCTGTTCAGTGTAGAAGCATAACTCGAGAATGTGTTATAGGAAGATCTTTGGGGCAGTTTTCCTTTCTTGTTTGCATAGTGTCCTGGTACCCGAACAAGTTTGCATTTTTTGAACACATAGTATTTAATGATCTAAAGTGGCCAAAATGAGGGATGGGGGAACCTCACATTTTAGTTATTTTTTTTTTAGATAAATCCACAAATGGCATGTAATAAGTAGATAATTGTCACTGACTACAATTTAGAAATTGATCTTGAAAGTTGATGTAAAGCACATCTGTAGTGACGTTGGTTCCTAGGCATATTGCAGGCATGAAGCAATTGCATCCAATGCATGAGTTACACACAATTACTGACATGAGTAAGTACGTGTCACTCAAGTAGAACACCGTCAATTATATGCTTGGGCACACGTGACACAGCTGACAACGGCGACATTCAAATGTGAGTTTGAAAACACCCACATTCGGACTTCAGCCACAAACTTCTCATTCTCTGCACTTTACCTGCCCTGGACATAGCATCATGTCAAGACAAGAGGGGAAGGAAGGTAGGTGTGGCGCTCCGCCGGGTGCTACAGTCCCTGGGAAGACAACGAGCGTTTTTGACATTACAGTTGGATATGACTGAAAGTTAAAAAATTTTGTTGTGAATTAACTAAAGTATTCTGGCTTTTATGAAACTCTGTAGTAGACGCTGGAGTATTAGAAGCATGTAAATCCTGTCCCTGGTGTTTCCACTCAGCATTGTGTTCACACACCAAGTTCTTAAAGGACAGGGCATGCTGCTGAAGATGACGCCTCTGGGACCCCTCCTGATTGTGTAGTGGGACAGAGCAGAATGCAGAAGTAGGAGGCTGGGCCCATTTTTACTGGGTCAAGAGCTCCGAAGCTCCCTGTTTGATTTAGCAGACAGTGTCCACTACTGTCCTCGTTCTAGGTAGATGATGCGGGCTTTGGAAGGCCTGGAGTCATGTTGCAAACAATACCAGCACATGGTTCTTGATACTGTCCTGGGCAGACTATAGAACGTCTCAGAAGGTTCTTGCTTCTTGATGCTGGTGATGTCTAGTTCTAAGTTCTGTCCTTGTTTGGGAATTGGAACTTGTCCTTGTCTCATAGTCCACTACAATGTTCTCCCAAAACCAAGAAGCATGCAAGGCTTAGGAATTTGGAAACCCAGTGTGTGTGTGTGTGTGTGTGTGTGTGTGTGTGTGTGTGTGTTCATACTACTTCTTATCATCAGTCCCATAACTATGCAAGATAATGGATATCTAATCATAATTGTGGTTATCATGATACAATGTATTTATATATTGATTCATTGTGTTCCTTAAACACATACAACATTTACTTGTCAAGTATGTTTTAGTAAAACTAGTGGTGGGAAAGAGATAGAGGGTAAAGAGGAATAAAATCGCCACGTGTCTGGTATGTGAATGGCATTACGCTCTGTGTTTTCATATGCTGCCTCATTAAGTTGCTTCAAAAAGTATGTGGTGTAGGAGTTAGTTTCTCACATAAAAAATGAGGACAGTGCGATTCAGGGTAGCTAATGGATGCTTGTTACTCAGCTGAATAGAATTCCATGCTGCCCCTGCTCTGATGAAAGAGGCTTCTCAAATTGACTGATGTCATTATTTCAAGCTTTCCTTTAGACACTGTTACATCCAACGAACAATACTTTCAACCTTACAGACGACGGATCTGGCTGTTGCCATCCAAGGGCCAAGGAAGAGGACAAATATAAAGAACCATTTTTCATAGTGACGACACAGGACGAAATGGCTGCTACGGACGTAGTCCATAAACAAGAAGTAGCAACTGGGTGATACCTATAATCCCAGAACTCCAGACTTGGAAGAGAGAGGGTTAAGATTTTGAGGCTAAGGCCTGGAGAGATGGCTCAGCAGTTAAGAGCACCTGTTGTTACTCCAGAGGACCCAGGTTCTCTTGCCAACACCCACATGGCAGCTCACAATCGTCTAACTCCAGTCCTATGGCCTCCATGTTCATTGCATGAATGTGGTAAAAGTACATACATGCAGGCAAAGCACTCATGTACATAAAATAAATCTTAGGAAAAAAGAATTTGAGGGTAGCCTGGGCTCTGTAATAAGACCCCCCACAAGGAAACAAACATACCCCTCCAAAGCAAAGACAAAAAGTGGCTTTTTGTGCAGGAAGTGGCTTCATGCACCATTCCCACAAGCATCTGCAATGAAATTGGATCTGGTATTTGCATGTTTTCAGAGTTTCTTTTGGTTTGTCTGGCACTCTGAAAATAACCCATTATGCTGAATTATTGATTAGATAAAGTCATTTGCAAACTCCTGCTAAGGTGCAAATGTTCAAAAGTTGCAAAAACCATGGTAAACACTACTGGCGGTGGGGGTGGGGGTTTACACAGACAGAGTGCGTACTTGTCACCACACACTGGCAACTTTCTCTCCCCCATTCAGAAGTTAAAAGGCACTGTCTTCTCATTACCCGCTTTCTTGTCTTGTCTTTAAGGAACGGCTTGATGAGCGTGTACAGGGCATGGATGTACCAGGGCTGGTTGACAAAATGGACTCCTCCAAAGCGGGCAGGAAAGCTGTCCTGAGAAAGAAATACACAGAGCAAGAAAGCACATCAGTTTCCCACCGTCCAGGCTAGGTGACAGCAGCATAGCAATGCAGGGGAGAGCCTGCTCCTCTGGCAGAAACTTCCACTTCCGGGTAAACAAAGACCTCACACCCTCAGCTCCTCTCCTGCCTACCTTTCCTGACTCTCCTCTTGGATTCTTCTGTCTCCTTTCCCTCCACAGCCTAAGAGTTGTGCGTACGTCAGACTAGTCTTCCCAAATGGCAGTGACTGATCGATCTAGGTGGTACGGAAGTATGTGAGACCCAGATCATTGGGAGTGAGAACTTGGCAAGCATTTGGTAAGCAAGCTTCAGTCCCTGAAGGCCTGAGACAGCTCGCACTCTGCTCTCCTTCCTCTTTCTCTCCAGGGTATTGTGTTAACTTTACAATAGCCCAGAGCTTGAACTGCTTGGGCGAATTGAGCAGGTTGCACAGGACAAGACTACAAAAGGACCCCAAAGGATTTACAAGACTACAAAAGGACCCCAAAGGATTTACAAGACTACAAAAGGACCCCAAAGGATTTACAAGACTACAAAAGGACCCCAAAGGATTTACAAGACTACAAAAGGACCCCAAAGGATTTTATGAGCTGAGGTTCTCTGAATTGATCCTGGTCTGACAACATGTGCTGATGGTTTCTGTCTGTACTATCTGTCCACCCCCACCCTGGAAACACACAGCAGATCCTAGAGCAAAGATAATGTTGGTTGACTACCCTAACTGAAGAAGACCGTCCCCCTCCTCTGGTTTGAAAATATCAGGCCTTAAGAGCATTTTCAAAATGGCTTTTAGCTTGGAGTCCAGGTCAGAATATAAACCCGTGCTTTGCAAGCTGATAAACTGCTCTGAGGGTTTGAGATCCACAGGAGGCGGGATCTTGGCCAGGAAGTTCTGATGTGTGGTTTTAGCAGACTGGGTTCACCACTGCTAATAGAATAGAAACAGAGGCAAGACCTGAAATCTATTTGTGTCACCAGGCATGCTGTCATTCAGGTTCATTGCAAACAAACATCTTGTTTAGCAAGACAAGAAGCAGGGCAGTTAGCAGTTGGGCAGCGTGCACTCTCAGTGGGTGTATGGGATGCCATGCCTCTTTTAGTATGATAACAAGCAAAGAGGACCAATCGCTTTCCCCAGAACTGTCTGCATCTATAGGATCCCTAGGCATCTGCCACGAGGAGTTGAGTTTCAATGAAAGACTATGGAAATGAGACTAAGGGCTGCCGTTCGAATGTCTTAAACCTAAGTTTTACAATCTAGCAAGACATTTTACAAAATAGGACATTTGAAATATCTTAAAGGCTAAACTAGACAATTTCAGTTTATGTATTCATTTTATTTATCTTGATTTTTAAAACTCAACAGAACCACCACCCAATATAGGGATTGAGCAATCATTTACACTAAATTAGTATTTGCCAAAGCGCGTGATGTTCTCCAGACACGGCATGGCTGCTGTCCTCTTTAGTTCTCCACCAACATGACATCAAAGTAGATCTTACACAAATTTTGGCCCACTGTCCTTCTATCAAGGAGAGTGGGAGGGACTTGGGAGACAGTGCACTACAAGGAGGCCTGGCTACCTTCCAGTGCCCAGTCAGTCTCGGCGATGATAGTTTCCTTTGGTGGAGAAGCAGGCCATGATCACCCTTGTTCTTGTAAGTGGTACCTCACCCTCATTCATCACGCTAGGCTTGAGTAGAATTGGTTTTTCCTTTTTCTTTTTGGCCTGTCTGGGGAGACTGGATGTTTGCCTCCCAAGGACAGTGGTGATCTTACTGTTACATCTGCTTTCAGAAAAGTCAGTTTTCCATAAGCTGGGTTTGTGTGTGTGTGTGTGTGTGAGGAGGGCAGCTGGAGTTTTTGTTTGTACCAAGCATTGAACACAGGGCCTTGTTCCTGCTAGGCGAGCACTGTACCAGCAAGCTACATGCCTAGCCCAATGCTGTCTTTTTATGTCTAGCACGAGACTCAACAATGGTTTTTCATTCCTTAAAAACAAGAGGTCACCCTGCAAAGCGCTTCCCTTGCGAAAAGAGCAAAACTTTAGTTTCATTTTTTGGTCCTTTCGATCTCTTGTTCAGAAACACAACTTACATGATGAATGTGAGCTCTAGCGGCTACGGAAAAAGAACAGGAGTGACATATTTACTCACAAAACCCTGGCTTTCCTGTCTTTTTAATTTTTACTGGAACTAATTAGAATGTGTACATTTGTATTGTAGTCTTTGTACTCTATATTTTCAGGTTAGTAAGGTGGAAGAAAATGTAGAGAAATACTCTAGAGACAGTAGGAAAAAATCATAATGACAATTTAAAAAATACCTAGAGACCCTTATGAGACATCAGTCATCAACGATATAAAAAAAACCATCCTCTGTTTACACCCGGGGAGGTTGAAAAGACGAGCTCCTTGCAGCAGTTCTAAGTTCTTTCTAATTTGGCTCAGGTTCATGATTCTGCCAGAGAGAGTGCAGGCTTTCATTGCCCTCATTCAAGTCAGCCTGGGAAAATATGCAAACAAAAATACACAAACCTGGGCTTGGGTTCAAGTAGAAACAGGGCTATCTTTTCTTCAGGTCCCTCTCATAACCTTCAGATGAAATGTCTTCCTGCTTGATAACGGCCATGTGCAGATGTTTTGGGGAAGCCTGGCTGTGTGTTAATTTGTGTGTACATGTGTGCGCATGTCCAGCCATGCAAGTGCACACGAAAATGGAGAGGGAAATATTGATATTAGGAAAGCCATTGTTGTAATTTGAATTTGGAGTGTCCTCCATGGTCTCATGATTTGAGTCCTTGCTCCCCCGGGTTGGAGGATGCATTGGGAGCTTGTGGCTCTGTAAGGTGAATGCTAGGAATGGACCTTGGAAGGCTGTGTGCCAGCCCTAGCTCTGCTTTGCTCTACACTTCCTGCTTCCTGATCTGCCAACCTTTGGCCAAGCTGCTTCAGCCACTAAGCCTTGCTCACTGCAACAAATTGTTTTCTCTGAAACTACTAATGACACACGCTCTTCCTCCCATGATGTCCTGGTGGGAATTCTGTCACAGCACAGTGACAAACAAATCAAGCTTCTCGGAGTTAGCGTCTGTCAGTGCAACACCCTTGGCTGACTACATAGTGAACTGCAGTGGAAGGAGAAGCTGTCATCACTCAGGTATCTCCCACAATCCTAAGGGGCTTCATGGAGGTGCATGCCTTGTGGGCTAGAACAGATCTCAAATTGCCCGGCCTTGATCTAGCTAGTTCATGCCTTGTCCTGCTTTGTTTTAACACATACTTATGAGTGCCCATTATGCCAAACACTGGGTCAAATATGGGATACATTGTCTAAACTGAACTTATCTTAAATGTTGAATTGGCAGAGTCTTTTTCTTCTTCCTGTCACTTGAGAGTTGCCTGTGCCCCTGCCTTACCACACTAGCAAAGGCAACATAAACTGTCACCCAAGTGAGGGTAAAGCTAAATAAAGGATGTCCCTGTATGGAACATGATGGGAAAGACCCAGAGTTAGTCCAGAACCTTCATCCCCAAGGTCAGCAGCTACCCCTTCATTCATACGTATTTTGTCAGTAGACACCATCTGGAGAGAAAGGTCTCCCCTCAAACTTGCTTCGGTAGTGATAGCTTCTTGACCTTCCCTACTGGGAACTTATGTTCATATATTATTTATAAATTATTACACCCAACAGGAGAATACACTTTCTTTATACACATTCATGGGGCATACATCAAGACAAAGCAATCCAGGCCACAAAAATGTCTTAACTAAATTAGCCAGAGAAAAGCAGTCACAAAACTATATTCAAAGCTGAAGAATGGAACAAACTAGAAAACAGAAAACAAAAATCTCAAAGAATTGGAAACCAAACCACTGAGTTCTAAATAATTCATGGATGGATCAAAGAACGTCTGGAGGAAAAATTTAAAACATGTGTAACTCAATGAAAATGGAAATAGAGCCCATCGAAATGTACGGGGACACAGCTAACCCAGTGGCAAAGGGAAGTCTGCAACACGGAACGTGCATTCGACGGAAGAAGAAAAGTCAGGAATGTGAAGCCCACCTGAGTTTGGAGAAGAAAGCAAAGCCACAGCAGGAAGAGAGGAAACAATGAAAGCCAGAGCAGAAATCAATGGCATTTACAATGGAGTAATGCTCACGGAAAAAATCAACGAAACCAGGAGTTGGCTCTTTGGGAAGGTAAATAAAATTTCCTGGCTCTTATCAAGGCTGACGAAAAGGGATATCAATAAAATACCAATGTCAGCAATAAAACTGTGTCTGTCACTTTGTCAGCTTCAAAAGGACAGTCAGGGGACAAAGCTCCAGCTCTGCATGGCGACTTGACAACTTAAAGGACAGGGGTCACTTGGATTCAAACTGCCACAACTCATCAGGGAGCAGGTAATTCTAATAGCCCTCTAATTACTAAGAAAATTAATATTGCCATAAAAATAATTCTTCAGGCTTCCATGGTTTCATTAGAAAAATCCACTTCCATATATCTCTTCCAGTAAATAAAAGGAACATGTCAAAAAAAAAAAAAAAAAAAAAAAAAAGACAAGGATAACACTAACAAATCCAATTACAGACCACTATTCTCTGTGAGTGCAGATGAAGATTCCCCCACATTATGTTGGTAAATGGAACCTAGTTGTTTATAAGATGAATTACATACATTATGACTAAGTAGGGGTTGACTCCAGGCCTATAAATTACAAGGCTGTGCAATTGTATTGACATCTTCTAGTTTTTATGTCTGATACCTTGACATGTGAAATCTTCCTGACTAGGGAGGGGTTGTCGCACCCATGAGTGAGAGGGCAAATGAGGGGCCTAGGAGCCTCCCTCTCCCAGTCAAACGAGTCACCCACCCCGCACTTCTATGAGCGTCTTTCTCCGGCTCTTGAATGCTACGCTGTCGTTCCTTTGCATCGTTACTCCAGGCTGCGAACCCAACTGCGT